ATGTAATGTAAGTTTTCGTAAGGCATTTTATATAATCACATCAGAGTTCAGACTGAAATGAATTATAAAACATGCACGAAGTTTACGTACAATAGCATGCACTTTGTTTTTTTTTCTGCTTCATTCTTACAGACTTGAAGTCATTTGCAGAGAATTAAACGGGAAACAACGCAACGTTACTTTTGTGACGTAACTGACATCATAATCAAATGTGCATAAAACAGCTGCTCGAATCGCCGAAATTGTGTACCGAAATTGATGACAAAAGCAAACCCGCGACCTACCTTAAAAGCATGCAAATAAATAAATTGAAAATAGGCGTAATAAAACAATCTGATCTGTTTTTTGTCATTTTAATTTGGAATCTTCCCATCTGTATTATCTTACCCCCCCCCCCCTGCCCCATCAAGAAATCTGGAAAATTATGTATTAATCAGTAAATACAAGACATTAGCCGTGAAGGAACAGATTGTGAATTAATAAAAATATTTTTTATGATATCAAAAAAATTATTGATCACAAAACATACTCTTCCCTTCTTTCTTACCTTGCTGGTAGCAACAACTCTTGCAGCTCTTAAACACCCAATTTTATATTTACGTCCCGAAAATCTACCTGATTCAAGATCAATAATTTACCGCCTGTCAATCATAAAAAAAAACAATAGCTTCTGATTTGATTGACAGGCCAGCTACCCGTGCTACCTGATAGTCTGAGTTTGTGTCCTTTGAAAAAATGATTGCCTTGTCATGCGTCAAACACTTTCATGTAGCCGCCTTGTGTACACAGGGGTTAATAAAAGAATCTTGGTAAAATTTTATTTTAAACACAATACTAAGAGTAGATTATTAAAACATGACTTCATAAAATATTTGCTTTTAATCTCAACTGCTATTTCATATTTTAGGCGATATGTCGTCCAAGATATCTGCTGTAGAATTTAGACCAGTCTGTGCACAGAAACGCTATTTGCCGATTAAAATTCGAATATGATAAATTAGAAAAGATATTTAGCACAAACGGCACGGATAAAAAATTCATTTATCCCATGTTCTATCAACGTATATATGAATACAATCTATACCCTGTTCCGTTGTAAAGTTCTGAAATGTCAGAAACGTCAGAAACAGCTCTAGGAGTTTCGAGATTAAACCTTTAGTTCGAATTTCCTAACATCTGTCAACACAATATTCGAAATTAAAAAGAGAATATTTAAAAATATAAAAGAAATCTTGCAAACAATAAAAAAAATAAAACATACGAACACCCGGAAATGGTTAATATTTTCGACACTATTGTTGATCGGAACGTAGGCAATATTCCTATCGCGGTACCGGTACGGTACATTGTATATATTCACACGACGACTAGGCCTACCTGTGAATGGAATATTTTATTTTTATTTTTTAGATATTTACACAAATTTAATTTATTTAAAAATATGTTTACTTTATAGTTTTACTCTGTGTTCTTTAATCTAATTTGTCATTTTTTAAAAATATGAAAACGATATTTCTTAATAATTTTTTTTCTTCATTTATAATAATAGATATCGGTGAAAGTATTCATAAATAAATTTTACATTGAAATATTTCAATTATTTCAAGTAGTTTCAAGTAGTTTCACTCAAATTTAGACATGAAACACGGAATGTTGACCCTGATCACCAGACACAGACTTCCTGTGTAATGCTACGTGTACATAGATTTTTGACATCTTGGGTATTTGGGGTCTCCAGGTAAATAACAACACTATTACTTCGACCACTCCCCCTCTTCAGGTAACCGTACGGTAAAAAATTGGGTCTTTAACTTAGGCTATTTCCATATCGCCGATATTGAACAATGATTAATAACATGTGACGTAGCAGTGACGTTGCGGTCTAACAATTCTTATGTTGGACTGGCAGGTCAGTCAACAGTGAAATGGTTAGACCGATTTAATAAACATTTTAGTTGGATTTTTTATTAGTAATAAATATATAGAAAGCTATTTACCGTCCAGTATAAGGGAATAAAAATGGAATTTTACAAGTTTTTTTTTTCTTTCTCACATGCATTTCAAACAGACGAGGCAACTCCTGCTGATGACTCTGAAGGTATGTAGTGTTTTTTATTATTTTCAATTTTTTTATGTCAATCTGGTATTTTGTCCCCTTTTAAATTTCTTTTTAAAACACGAAACATAAGAATTCCTACTTTCTTGATTTTTCATACTGGTTTGTTAATGGAAATTATATTTTCCTTATTGTTTTAGTTTTAAGACACACGTTGTTGATTTTTGATTTCAATAAAAACAATGCTTTTCTTCCCTTGATTGATTCGGTAAGCAAGAGCAGTGAGTTAACAGTACGCCCAAATTAAGCCCATGGCACTTAACGTAGCATTTGAAAATAGGCCCAAAATAGACCTGGGTCACAAAGGATGTTTTAAAAAATAATCATACTCAGAACATTTCTTTAATAGCGAATATATCTGCAGACGAAAACACAATATTCATGGGATCAGTATTTGTTTATGTATATAATAAAAATCCCAAAACCGTCAAACTAAATTTGAGGTAGGTTGCGGGTTTACTGTATAAAAATTCTTACGAGAAAACATATCCTGAACATTTGATATGATGTTCCTGGGAATTTACAGCGATTTTCTGAAATTTTTATAAAATTTGCCTACGTAGTTTTAATGCTATATTACTGTAAACGCGGTATTGTTATTGGTGCATTGATTACGGTTTACTATTGGAATATATGGAAAAGTGATGTTTTTAAGCCAATTTTGTGAAAATAGTTTCTTTTAAAAAGGTTGGATAACTTTTTAAAGACGTTGACAAATTAGTCAAGAATTTCAAAATGTCAAGATGATGTGAAATCAAAACTACTGATGCAAAAAAAATTAATATGTCTTCTCGCTATATTGTTCGCTAAATAATTTCAAAGCTTCCTTTTATATTGCCTAAAATGTTGCGTATATGGCGATATTAATGTCTACAACGTCATTTGTTGAGAGGATTAACGTTTACAGTACGCATATAAATATTTTGACATTTGGAATATGCAAGATTTGAAAGATGTCATGAACGCAAAATTTATTCATCATTTAACGTATTGCGAAGATATATTAGAATGACCAGCAACTTATTTTCACTAGTATTGTGAAATTCATATTCTGATCACAGAGACAGAATGAACAGTATAAACACTCTCGTTCATGAGAATGAACATGCAGCGACAACACCACGAGTGATAAAATATTAGTTCCTGCATTTTTAGGAAATTCATAATGAATAGGATTGAAAACAATAAAGAAATTAAAGAAAAAACTTCCAGATACTGGCGAAATTAGCGGGGAGAGGGGGTGGTTACCTGCAATGTTTTTCTTATATAAGACGAAAGCTAGTATATGGGCCTAACTCTTAACATCAATTCTCTGTAAGGACCAAAAATGCTTGGCCACGCACTATCATGGAATTTTATTTTATCAATATAATATTAAAGAGTGTCCTATATAAAGACTATAGGTGGGTAAATTTTGGACAGTGCTTCCTTGGTTTCCATAGCAACGGCCTTGAAATATTTTGCCATGGCGAAAATGACCTAATTGTCATCACCATGCAAAATAATTCCATGCTTCCTAAACGTAGAAAAGTTGAGAACATAACATGGGTCTCATTTGATAGCTAACTAATCAAAGTTTCTTGGCATATAAATTTTATTCAATTTAACTCAAGGTTTTTATTATAATACAGATCAATTTACACGAAGATTGTCATAAAATGAATACAAAGGTACCTGTTTCTTCACGTGCATAGAAATTTTTGCAGGCAATTTCAACTTATAAAAAAAGTTTTTTCAGTAAGATAGAACTTACATCTAAAAGATACAAAAAGATTTGAGGTGGGTAAATCAGTTAAATGTTGTTTTCCATTCGCCTGAAATCATCACTTTTCATTAAAATTGACAAAGAGTTATTTCCCTTTGCTGACTCTTTTGCACTGAAGGCAAAAAACAGTTGACTATCCTGTCAAAAGAAGTTTCTAACAACATGTGGCAAAACAGACACCAGGAAAATAAAATGTTTAAGTTGTGAGTGACAAAGTAAGTCATCAATCAATTAATGAAAATGAAAGAGACAGGTCTTGTGAAATACTGACTAGAGGGATTCCATCTATTCTAAAGACCCATACGTACATTATGCAGTTATGATCCAAATGGAAGAAAACATTAAAAAGCAGTGGATACGGCCACCCGGAAATCAGTAGGAATGGATCTACCCTAGGAACAGGTAAAAAAAATGTAGAAATTTGTGTTTACTTTAGAAAGCAAATAAATTTACTCTTGAAAACCATATAACTATTAATTAGGAGGATAATGTAATAGAAGATGTAACTTAAGTTTGTGTGTATGAAATGCAAAATTAATATGTGTTTTCGGGTACAAACTACATTGTTGTTAAGTGTGTGTGTGTGTTTTATTGGGGGGGGGGGGCTAAACATATTTAGGGAAGTGTGTATAAATTAGAGACGGACATAAACGCATGCATATTAGAAGGCTCTATTCAGTTTGACTGTGAACCCCCCCCCCCCATTATTTTTAATTAATTTTAGCAATATATACACACTTTACCTAATACATGTATAAAAACTGATATGCCCTAGCTTGTAGGTATGTATTCATGCACATTTATTTCATTTTAATAATTAATAATTTATTTTTAGAGGAAAATAAAGATGAAAAGATACATTGAGAATCCATTTTCAGTAAAAACAGGTGAGAATTTTTTTTTAAATATTAAAATGATCTGGTAAGGAAATAAACATTCATCATAATTTAATGATAATAAAATAAACATTCATCATAATTTAATGCTAATAACTACATGTACCACAGCAAAATTAAATCTTTTATTAATGTCATGATTTTTTCTTATAAAGTCTTGGGATACAGTTAATAAAAAAAGAATCAAAATTGGTTGTAGAACCTACTATGACTGTATTGTTACATTTTAGAACTGTGACACAGGAGCATCACCTTTGAAAGGTTACAAATGTTACAAATGACACCAATGAAGGATATATGAGCAACTGTAAGTACACTGTTACATAATTTAATTCAATTTTCTCAACAGAGTTAACACATGATATATGTTTTAATAAAAAAATTATCAAAGAGGTTTTAGAATTTTTATTGTTCTATTTATTAAAAGAAATATACTCTTACCTATACTTGATTCACAAGCAAATTTAATATTAATTGTGGGTACACCTTATAACTTACAAGTATTCAATCAAAATTTGTTCAGGAAAGTTTTTCTTGTATTTACAAATTCATAAATTGAATATGTATTAAACTATTATGCAACTGTACTTGGATACATGTATGTATGAAATAGTATGAATATCCCTAACATACAAAATGCATATATGTATGATTTATGCAAGAAAGTTCAAATAAGGCCCCTAAATAACTATAAATGGAGGAACCCTAAAAAGAAATACTAGTATCCAGTATAGAGCAATGAACTACATAGTTGCAAGTGATTAGGAAATACTATTTGCTTTTATGTTTTTATTATCTTTTTTTAATACAAAGGTTATATACCAGAAACAGGATGCAGTTACAAAATTAATAAACTTGCAAGTGATCCTGCATGCATATGAGAACTGAACACCAGACAGTATCGTTACCAAACAGTACTGAGTATTCTTTTGGAGGGAATTCTGTTTAAAGAAATTGGAGGTCAGAAGTTTTGATGTTTGTGATGGTAAATTCACTGAATTGTTTAGGTTGCTTTTATCTTCCATTGGTTATACTTAAAATATTTTTGAGGTATTTTTTTCAAGGTGTAAATACTAACAATTGGTTTAGAATTAAATACATGATAGTGAAAAATATATCAATTTTGTTTTCACATGAAAAAAATGTTGTAGATAAATAATGAATTTAAATTAAGGTATTAGATGTATTTTTTTTTATTCCAGGAAAAAAGTCGAAGATGATTATTTCAAGTGTCACTTTTAAAACCCACTTTCTTCACTGGACAGCCATAACACCACATACAGCAAAACTCGTTTAGTACAAACTCGGATATTGTGAATTTACAGATAAAGCGAAGTCATCTTGGATCCCCAACTATATAAATTAAACACATTCCTTATACAGATATAACAAATTATGAATATAGCAAAGTAATTTCGAAGGTCCCTATGCCTTTGTCATAACTAAGTTTAAATACTGTAACAGTAAATGTCTGATGTAAAAAAAAATGGTAACTTTAAGTTTAGCTATTCAACAAAATTGTTATGTAATTTTTTTTTTTTTTTTTTTTTTTTTTTTTTTTTATTTTTTTTTTAAATACATATTTTGACATATATTAAAATACACATTTTAGATAATGTTCAGAATGAAGATTTTCTTGATTAATAATTTGAAAAAAAGACTGTATTAATATAAAAGTTGTTATATATACACGTTCTGTAGAGCACATAATTTTTGCAATTATATTACCTTATTTTCACAGCATTGTCATTGACTCTTTTTTAAATAGATCCATTTTTCACAAATTGGTGTCAATACTCTTTTTAATCTCAAAAAATACTATTTTATGTGAGAATTAATTTTCTGAGAGCACAAAGTCTTGTTTAATAGCGGGAAAATAATGTTCTCGTGAATAAAACTGATCAACAGAATACACATGAGTATGTGTATGTTTACAGATTGTTAGTGATATATTAATGATGTTTTCAATGTGTTGTTAGTTTTATAGTCAATTTAAATTCAACACCTTTTCTCCATTTTGTATCTAGTATTTGAAAATATTGATTACTGGGCAAAGTTCCTGTGAAAAGTTTTCAGTATGTTGTTGGTGTCGCAAGGTCTTAAAGATGCATACTAGTATGTGCCAGTCTAGAATTTTCTTGTTTTTCCTCAAGATAATAGCATTAATCCAATCTTAGAATCTTATTTTGCTTGGTTTCACTGTGTAACTGTGGAAACCGTAAAAGTTATTTGTAGAATGATTTTCCTAACACCTATGTCTTTGAGATCAAACATTTTATTGTTTTTCTTAAGTTGTTATTAAATTTTGGTCAAGTTACGTCTAGAATTAGTGAACACTTTGCATTTTTCAGTATTTAAATTGGCTTTCAAATATACCCATATTTACCACTGACTTACATGTACAAATAATTTTCTAAACATTTTCTGTGTAGCATAAAATAAAACAAGGTGTGTAGTTTTTGTGAGAAAAATTTGTTGGTTTTTCTTAGATTTTATTAAATTTTCAGTAGAGATTTCAAGTAGCCAAAAGTCTCAATTTTTCAAAAATTTCTGGCTGTTTCCATAGCAACCAAATTTTATTTAATATTTTTATTTCTTGTATCAAGTAGTACTAATGGGAAAAGCTTCATCAGAATCAGTGCATGACAAAGAAGTTTAATTGTTTATAGAAAATGGCTATCAAAGAGCTTGTTTTTGCTAGATTTTGAGTTATCTGCCCTTTGTAAGGGATCATTGAGGAACAATAATAAAACAATTAATTTTGATTTATTTAGATTAATAGCTTTTAAAAAAATGAAACCATTTATTATTCATTTGATTTCTCATCTTTATAAGAAAAAACTGTTTAGAAAAGAAATTTTATTAAACAACTAGTGTCTGGTAAAATTTTGAAAAAGGAACAAATTATTAGGCAAAATGCCAATTTTCGAAGTTAAAAATATTTTAAACGAATAAAATACCACTCTACTTTTCATAAAAGTTGAATAACATTATTATAGTGTTTTTAAAATTTCAGTTGATTTTTTCTCATAGTGCTTGCAATTTTTGATAGACCTCTTGAAAAATAGGGTAAAAATGTCCATTTTCGAAATGTTAGAATTTGGTCATCTTTGAGCCACCAATTGAAGAATTTGCTGTGACATTTAGAATTTTTTTTATTTGTGTAATATATTGCTCCATATGTTCTGTTCATAGAATGTATTATTTATCTTATAAAAATAAAGATGATTATACCATATGAAATGAATTTAACAGCATTTTTATGTGTGAAATGGGCATAAATGGGGCCAAAATCTATTTTTGTCCGTTACCATGGCAACCAAGGTGGTAACCTTAATTTTGAATGTTGATTATGTCACACTGTATGGGCATTAATCATCTGAAAAAGTTTCATTGAAATCGCCCATGGTGTGTGCCACAGCCCACAGTAACATTTTGGTCCTTACAGTGAATTGATGTTAAACATTTGTTAATTTCGAATTTTTTTAATTAAATTTCCATACGAAAAATAAAAAATACATACTTGCATTTAGCCTTTAAACTTAAAACTTTCAATTATAGACATCAGAGTTCAGACTGAAATTTAATTATAAAACATATACGAGGTTTACGTACAATAACATGCATTTTGTTTTATTCTACTTGATTCGTACGAACTTGAAGTCATTTGCAGATAATTAAATGGGAAACAACGCAACGTTGCCTTTGTTACGTAACTGACGTCATAATCAAATGCGCAGAGAACAGCTTCTCGAATCGCCGAAATTGTGTACCAAAATTGATGACAAAAGCAAACCCGCGACCTACCTTAAAAGCATGCAAATAAATAAATTGAAAACAGGCGTAATAAAACAATCTGATCTGTTTTTGTCATTTTAATTTGGAATCTTCTCATCTGTATTATCTTACCCCCCCCCCCCCGCCCCTTGCCCAAAAAAGTTTCCACAAAGCGGTTTAAATTATTTTTTTTTAATTACAGAAGGAGAAAAAATTGCAAGTTATACAGAGTTCAAGGAAATCGACAAACTGCGTTTTGTGGAAACGAGTAAGAACTGTTAGTCGGATTATTATTTAAATACAATCAAACATTGCAAGTAACATCGATATGACATGAAAAGTAAGTAGGAAAGTATATAAGGTTTACATAAGAGTCTTATTTTGGATCCGATCGACCAACAGCATATTTCCATGTCGACAAAATGAATTCAAGTTAAAGTTAAGTGTCCTCAGGGGGTGTCCTAAGTAGATAAGAAATACTTAAATTTTCTTTATCAAAGTATAAACAGTAGTGTGCAGTCTAGTATTTTAATCTTTGAATTAAGAAATCGTTCTATAACATGTAACTAGAAAACTTTTGACTTTGAGATATTAGCAAGTAAGATACAAATGTGCAATGTTGATTACAATGCTGTACATTTCAGTTATGATGTAATAGACATAGAACTAATGAATAAAAAGTTCCATCAAAATAGATTGCACCTTTTATTCGGAAATGACCAAATGTTACTGTTCATTATATCCATATCCTTCTTGTTACGATGACCTAAATATAGTTATAGTGCTCTAATTTTCTTAGAATTAAAGAAGATGTGTTTGTAAAACACTGATGCCCCCGTATGGCAACATAGCACAGATTAAGCTTTTCTTAAATGCAAATTTAATTAATTGGTACCAAAAGTAGGGTATTCTCACTGAAAAACAATTGTGAAATTTGAAAGTACTAAGCTAAAGTTAAAGTTTTTTTAATAAGTACAAAGATCTCCAAGGTCAAGGGCAAAAGGTCAATGTAATTAGTATCAAATGAAAGGTCTTGCCACATAAAATACTTATGTAGAGCATGAAAATCCTAGCCCTAACCGTTCAGCAGTTATGGTCAACGTTCGATTTCTTAAAAAGTAGGTCAAACTCCAAGATCAAGGTCAAAGGGTCAAAGTTATTTTTATCAAATGAAAGATCTTGTCATAAGGATCAAATATGTAAAGTATAAAAGCACTAGCCTTAAGTCTTTGAAAGTTTTGGTCAAGGTTGGCTTTTTTAAAGTATGTCAATCTCAAAGGTCAAGGTCAAAGGGTCAAGGATCTTCATATCCAATAAAGGGTCTTTTCACAAGAATTACATATATGAAGTATGAAAGCCCTATCCCTTACCGTTCAAAAGTTATGGCCAAAGTTAAAGTTTTTTCACAAGTACGGAATTCTACAAGGTCAAGGTCAAAGGGTCAAGGTTGTGGGTATCAAATTAAAGGTCTTTTCACAAACATTACATATGTGAAGTATAAATGTCCTGGTCTTTACTGTTCAAAAGATATGGCTAAAGTAAAATTTTAAAATTTCCATGTAAAAGTGGGTCAAACTCTAAGGTCAAGGTCAAAAGGCCAAATTTATCGTTATCAAATGAAAAGTCTTGTCATAAGAATCAAATATGTGAAGTATGAGAGCACTAGCATTAAGTCTTTCAAAGTTTTGGTCAAGGTTTGCTTTTTTTAAGTAGGTCAATCTCAAAGGTCAAGGTCAAAGGCTCAAGGATCTTCATATCCTATGAAGGGTCTTCTCACAAGGATTACATATATAAAGTATGAAAACTCCATCCCTTACCGTTCAAAAGTTATGGCTAAGGAAAAAGATTTTTCACAAGTATTTTAATCTACAAGGTCAAAGGGTCAAGGTTGTGGGTATCCAGTGAAAGGTCTTTAAACAAACATTACATATGTGAAGTATAAAAGTCCTGGTGTCAACTATTCAAAAGATATGGCCAAAGTAAAATTTTAAAATTTTCATGAAAAAGTAGGTCAAACTCCAAGGTCAAGGTCAAAAGGTCAAATTTGATAGTATTCAAAGAAAGGTCTTGTCACAAGGAATACATATATGAAATATGAAAGTCATAGCTCCACTAAAAATCACGTACATGTATTAAAATATTGTGAAGAAATATAAAAACCAAACCAGCCATCCTTCTGTAATCCAGAAGTGAAAAAAATGGATAGATCACATGATCAATACGTACTGGCCCTTGCTAACAAAGCATATAACAACATTGCTTTCGTTTGATAGGCTCATTATATCAGTTTTATTTTTTAAGAACTTTGATGAAGTTTGTAATACATCTTATACTCATAGTCCCCTTTCTAGGGGAAGAAATTCTCAAAAATCATACGTTTTGAATATTTTTAATATCCGAAGAACCAAAATGAATGAACTACAAGATATTGTATACCGAAACTTCATAAGAATCCTTACAAAGATACATTGGGGAGGGAGGTGTCTAGTAATAGTTCAACGAAGCTTTTTTGTTTAATCCCCACTAAGATATTTAAAGTACTCAATGAGAAACTTGAAGAGTTTTTCAAGTAAAGGTGGGTCAAACTCTAAGGTCATGGTCAAAAGGTCAAAGTTATCGTTATCAAAGGAAAAGTCTTGTCATAAGGATCAAATATGCGAAGTATGAAAGCACTAGCATTAAGTCTTTAAA